CGCACCCCAGTCCTCCGGGCCCAGCAGGTTGTCGGTGAAAAACCGCGTCGGGTCCGCAATCTCGCTGAGGAGCATTAGCTCCGCCATCTTTCCCCCGCCCCCCAACCACGAGCCGGGTCCGAGGCCCGCCTCTCTCCTCAGCAACTGAGGAGTTGACTCTTCAAAAAAGGGGGCGGTCCGGAAGCTGTTCCGACCAGTAAGACAGCTGGGTGCTGAGCACAGGCCTCCGAGGAAGAGGCGGCCCCACAGGCCGGGCCAATGGGAGCTCGGCGGGACCGGCCTAGCACCTGCGCATGCGCGGAAGGGGACCCAGCGCGAAAGCGCCTGGGAGGTGTAGTTTCCAGGGTTTAAAGGTTCGCCGGCACCCGCCGACGGTACTAAATTTAGAACTTCGCGTCTACTCCTCTTCGGAAATGGGTAAGCCCCCTAAAATATAGTGCACGTGGCCATGGCTTTTTATGGTAAAAAAAAAAAAGGGGAAAGAGGTGCACTGAGACCACTGCCACCTCCCTTAGGAAGGCAAACACTGGGAATGGGATATGGGCTGAAACCCTCCCTCAGGGCCCACGCCCCCAGATCTCACAGCACAGACCACGATTCACAGGTTTCTGTCCCTTTTAAGGGTTAACTTTTAATCAGCCAAACATCTTGCGGAGACCCTGAGCCAGTCCTGCATCTTGTTTCTTCCCCTGAAAGAATACCCTTTCCAGCTCCTCCTGGGCTGCCCGGTTTTTTGGATCGACTGCCAACACCTTCTTGAGGTCAGCAGTTGCTTTTTCCAGGTTCCCAAGAGCAGCCTGAGCAACCCCCCTTCGGTACAAGGCCTTCACATGCCCAGGCTCCCGCTCCAGCACCCGGTCACAGCTCTGGGCTGCCAGGTGGGGCTGTCCCAGCAGCAACTGACAGGCAGCCAGGTTGGCATGAAGGACAGTGCGCTCTGGAGAGCCAGGTGGAGGTAAAGTCAGCAGCAGCCGAAGAGCCCGTCCGTAGCATCGGGCAGCCCCTTCTGGGTCCCCAGCTCGAAATAACTCTGTTCCCCGCGCACGTTCTTGCCTAGCCAGGGCCTCCTTCTCGCTGGCCTCCAGCTCCCAGGAGTCCTGGCCCTGAGTGAAGGAAGCCAGTGTGAGCCGGACAGGAGGTCCCGAGTGCCCAGGGAGCTGCAGCTCCGCCTCCTCACCCTGACACATGGACTCCAAACATTTCTCTGTGAGCTCCCCCCAGGTTCCCTCCCTCCACGAGCCGAAGCCCATAGTTAGCTCTGTCCAGCCCTCTGGCAGCCCTGACCCAAAAGGAAACCCAAAAGCCAGTACGCGGCAGCGGGAGCCCAGCTTGGGTTTGTCCAAGCCGTGGCCACGGATTACGATCTTCTTGACAAAGCTCCCATCCGGACAGTCCCAGAGATCCGGAGCGCGGAGGGGCGCTGGCATCTCACTCGCCGATCCGCGGGGCTTCTCGGCGGCTCCTTCGAGCGCAGCAGTCAGCTTTCCAGCCCCCGGAGGAACCTCTAGAAGCTGGCTGGGAGCTGGGATCATTCTCAGCTCGAGAACTCCAGGCTCTTGGGGCTGCTGCCTAGTTTGAGCAGTTGGATGAAGGCTCTTCTTGGGGTTCCCTCCCCATTGTTGTTGCGGTTCAGAGGTGCTTTTCTCTCCCACTGGATTGATTGGTAGCGTCTCCATTTCGCTGTCTGCTCCCCTCCCCCCTGGGTAAACAGTTTGGATCGGAAAGAGATGGACCAGATTCAGATCAGACCTGAAAAATAATCAAAACAATGCTAACGGCAGATTTGTGTTTAGACTCCTTTCCTGTCCTTCCGGGACCTGGGCCTCAGAGTTCTTGTTTCTCCAAAAATCCCTGTAGGGCTCCAGCCTGGGTTCCACGCAGAATCCGGAACTACAAAGTCCACAAATCCCTGCGGTCCTGTGGCCACCCCAACGACGGAAACTGATCGGGTCCAAAAGGCCTTGGGCGGCCGAAGCGTCCCGCCGGGTGGCGCTGCCAGATCACTCGGGTCACCTGCGTTTCCGACGCTACGAGCTCACTGAGTGCTGTCCTCCGCGTCCTGCCGCAGGCGGAGAGCCGGCCGGGGCCAGGGCCGAGGCAGGAACCCACAGCTAACCTGGAGCCCGCGCGGCGGCGAGTCCGGTGACGCCGCGCCCAGAAGGCGAGCAACCAGCCTTCTGCCGCCTCCCGATTGGCTGCCATCAATCGGGCCCACCCCCGCTCCCGGGAGCTCCAGGCCTTAGCAGCCGAACTGGGCCCGTCGAACCCAATTGGGCACGGCCGGTGGCCCGCCAGAAACCCCGCACTGGCGGATTGGGGCGGATGCAGGAGAAGGGATGGTGCGTGGCAGCGGCGGCAGACCAGCGCCCTCTCTCCGGGCGACCTCAAGTCCTGCGCGGTTGATTTTATCCCCTTGTTCGGGGCTGCCCGGCAGAGGCCACCTTGTGCTCCTTGCCCGCGCTGTCCAGGCGCTCCAAGAGAATCCTCAGGCCCCTTCTCCGCGTCCGGCCCTCCTCCCTCATACTCATCATGGCCTTCAAGCTCGCCCTCCTCAAGAAATCTTAGTGCTTTTCAAATTGTGATGTTCATAGAAAGCACCTGGGAAACTTTAATTTCGGGTTCTGCTTTAGGAAGTCTGGGATGGGGCCTGCAATTCTGCATTTCTAACAAGCACTTGGGCGCTGCTGCTACTGGTCCACGGACCACACTTTGTTTTTAAAAAATATACTTGTTATTGATTCAGAGGAAGAGAGAGAGAGAAATATTAGTGAGAGAATCACTGATCAGCTGCCTCCTGCATGCCCCACACCGGGATCAAGGCCACCACCTGGGCAAGTGCCCTGATGGGGAATCAGACCGTGACCTCCTGGTTCATAGGTGGACGTGCAACCATTGAGCCACACCAGCTAGGCCACGGACCACACTTTGAATAGCATGATTCTTGAGTAACCTCACCCATTCCCTTCATCCCTTGCTCCATGCCCCTTTAGTGTGTCCTATATTTTGTACATATAACTAGTATAACCTGCTCCACTGGGTGCATCAGTGGAAAACTGGGCCTCTTCCTCCTAATAGAAGATGTAGGTCCCTTTGTGGTTCAACCTTGCTTGTCCAGCAACCTGCACGGTTGGGCCACCAGAGCTCTTCAGGAAAGGAGAGTTGCACTTCCAAACCTCACCTTGGCCCATTTACTTGCTTTTTAACACCTACCATTGTGCATGTCTACAAGGACCATGCCAGGACAGTCAGGAGGGGAAAACTTTCGTCTTTATCCACAGGTGTGACTCAAAACAGTCCACTTCCTGTTTTGTGTTGAAACTCACTAACCCAGACTTTTTTTTCAAGTTTTATTCCTGGGTTCTGTGCCAGAGTGACCTTAGTACACTGTACACTGCCACCTCCTTCCCTCTATGGCTACATACTCTTGATTCTTGGAATCCCTGGGCTCTTGTTGAAAATTAATCTATCTTTTTTTCCTCCCTCTTCCTCTTTCCATTTCAGAGACTTCTGGGAAAGGCAGGAAGTCTAGAATGAGTCACAAGAGGTTTTATTGGGTCAGAATCCCTGTACAAAGGTTGCTAATTTGTGGTGTGTGTGCCTTAATTGAGAGGGCCGCTCCAATGACCCTTCAAAGATCAGCTTCTTTCAATAAAAAGAAACTATACTCTCCTAGAAATGTGTTGCTTTGTAATGTTCTCTTATTGGTATATGTGTGTATATATTTATCAAGCACCTGCTGTGTTCCAGGCAGCATGCTAAGAACTGGGGATGGATACCAAGGTGAATGAGCCAGACACAGTCCTGCCCTCGTGGAATGTAAGTCTGGCCAAGGAGAAGAAGGATGAGGTGCTATGAGAGAAAATGAGGGATGAGGGAATATTCCTTGAGGGTGAGACATTTTTACTGGCATCTAAAGAATTAGTTATTTTTCTAAAGCCTGAACAGAGAGAATAAAAATGACAGTGCCCCCAGGACCAAAATAAAATACAACTAAAATACAAAAAGCATCCTGAACAATCAAGGATAGCTGGAGAGCATCCTGATAACCAAGGGTGGAAAGTGGAGACAACATAGAGACTGGTAGGAAGGGTGGAGGCATGAAGGGGCTGGATGGGCTCCCACAGACATAACTGAAGTTCTGGAGAGATAGCTGTGGGGGTTGCCACTGAGAATTCAGGGGTCTAATCCCCAAGCTGGGCCCCCAGGCAAAGAACACCAGAACTGAGAAAAGTGCCCACATGACATCTGGCTGTGAAAAGCAGCAGGGTTGCTGTCTGCCAGGGATAGGCAGCTAGAAAATTCAGGTATCCACTTAAAGGGCCAATGCACAAAATTCCCTGTGGAGCCACTCACCTTGTGCTCGGGCAGAGGGAGGGCAGAGTGGACTGGAGCTGTGTGAGCAGAAGCCAGGGTTGGGGGCTCTGTGGTTAGAGCTCAGAAGGCAAACACCCCAGTTTCTTGTGCTGAGTCATTCCCTCATGCTGCGGAGGTCATCTTTCTCAGGCAGACATTTGCTATACTGGTGGTTTCGACAGTTGACCCACCCTATTGGAAAACACCTTGCTCCATGCTATGGAGTTTCTGAGGCTCATTAAGAGACTGAGAATGACTACTAGCCTCTTGGCAGAAGCAATTGCCCCATCCTGTTGAAAAGATAGGACACACTAAAGGGGCATGGAGCAAGGGATGAAGGGAATGGGGTGAGGTTACTCTAGAATCATGCTATTCAAAGTGTGGCCCGTGGCCTAGCTGGTGTGGCTCAATGGTTGCACGTCCACCTATGAACCAGGAGGTCACAGTCTGATTCCCCATCAGGGCACTTGCCCAGGTGGTGGGCTTAAGAGTGCTGTGGGACAATATGAAATGTAACAATATTCATACAGTAACCATGCCAGAAGAGGCAGAAAGGGAGCAAAAAATAGAGAACATGTATGAAGAAATAATGGCAGAAAACATCCCTAACCAAGTGAAGGAAAAAGTCACAAAAGTTCAGGTGGCACAGAGAACCCCAAGCAAGCAGAACCCAAACAGGCCCACACCCAGACACATCATAATTTATCAAATTAATAAATAAAATGCCAAAAATTAAAGACAGAGAGAGAATCTTAAAGGCAGCAAGAGAAAAGCAAACTGTTACCTACAAAGGAGCTCCCATAAGGCTAAAATTCATCAGAA